GCTCCTCATACCAACCTGTGTGACTATTCGTTAGCTCGTGAAATCACGAGACGAATACTGTGTGCTTCACGTTTGTTGAATTCATAGACAATGTACTTGACGAATGCGCTCAGCTAGACAAACCAGAAGAAAAAAATCAGTAAACAACAGATATGCCGAAAGTCTATCACAAGAGGAGCAGAAACAAAGAGAGCTGTTGAAACAAGGTGAAAAAAACGTATTTAATACCTACATCAGTCGTCCAACTTCCTGAATTGGTTGGATGGAAGAATCCCTCAGTCGAAGCAATTAACTTCACGAGGGAGTCTAGAGCTTTACAGCCAGCCAAATACATCTTGGCTTTCGAATGAATTCCCTTGCTAAGCGACGCTGAAAGATAGTCGCCTAGGCCACCATTGTGTTGAGGAAGCGGTGTCGAAGCTCTGGAGACAAACGGAGTGAACGCAGGAGTGGGGGCGGTAGAACCTGGAGCTGGCAATCCATCCGAGGCCATAGAATAAACAATTATGCGAGCCAAAGAAGCTGTCATAATGTAGGTAGGCGAGTAGGGTGGAGTATAGAAGAAAGCATACCTATTCTCCAGTTTGGTTTCGGCAGCCGGTTGAGCTCGAAACTAGCCTGATTGTCTGCATTTGGACCAGTCGTCAACGATCCTGAATCCGCCAGAGGGATTTCTAACAAACAATTAACGCATTGCTCATTTAAAATAGCTACTCTACTCACCCATGGATGCCAGGCACTTCGACATGATGAAATTCCAATGGTTCTCGCTGAATATGCCAACATCTGAGTATAATCCTGACCACTTCCACTTGGATTCGAGGTCCTTCTTTTCCCAGTTGGGCCTCTCTTCGTCCTCTGATCGGGCATCGTCCGGAATGTCCTCAATCCTATGTGGATCACTTACTGTTGGATCTACGTGCATCTCCGCGAGACGCGAGAGGAACTGCAGCATTCGATCGTCGAACATGTATGAATTTATGGACTCCCAAATGCGAAAGAGCATAGGGAGGTAGGATTGTGGATGCGACATGGGTAGAAACGTCAACATGTAATATTGAGCAGCAAGCATGCTCTGCGTAAGGCATGTCAGCGTCCAATCTTCTCCCGAGGGCAGAGGAGGTACCTACACTTAGGCTTGTGCCCTTCATCATTGGTAAGAACGTTGACAGCATCTCGTCGACGGCAGAGGGATGAAAAAACCTCCGGGTATTCTCAGCAATATAACCCATGTACCACGACGTTTGACTATCATTCGAATTGCTCAATCAAGTCGCTTGAACCATAGCAAACGGTTAAGGTCATTACCTGATTTCAAACTGCCTTCTCGTCAGGAATAGATCCTTGCTGAGAATCTTGAATACAGGCTTCCATGGGAGGCGCATATCGTTGATGGTAAGCTTCTTCTTGGATCTGGTAAGCATCTGCAAGGTGTCGGACCCAGCAGCAACGACAAGATTGGATAGGCCGGGTGTCGTACACACGAAGAAGAACAGCTTCACTAAAGCAATCCTCTTTTCTTTCGGGATGGGGTACTTCAGCATATGCCAGCTCGAGGTTGCATATCTTAGGATTATGAAGGTCAGAGAGAAAGAATGAACCTACTAGGTTAGCATGCTGTCCCACTGGAGGAATCCAGGGTCATAGTCCTTGGCTTCTACACACTGGGCAAGGCGAAGCAAAATCAGATCGAGCATCTGCTGCATCTTTGCGTACGATTCGATGGAGTAGGGCAGTGATTTTGCATAATTACAAAGCTTTTGTGTGTCAGGGTTGGCAGCGACAAGGATGTCGTCTGGTATAGATGAGATTGTGGACAGACTAGCATGGATTCCATTCGCTGGCCCAGGGTCATTAAGAGTCAATGTCGAGACGTCAGGGACGTCCATTGTATGGCCGTAGACAGGTGCGATACTAGAGAGAAGCAAATACGAAAGGGCCAAAGCAGGTCTCAGCCCAGCGGTTGTATAGTTGTATAAGTTCAAGAAAACATCCACCTAAGCTCGGCTTGAAGTATGTAAACGTCAGATGAGCGGGACGCCGGTTGATGCAAATGACTTGGCGCAGCAGTGGCGCTCCCCCACAGTCGGGCTCAGTGCTCAGCGCTCAGCATTATGTAGACCTAGAGACTCAAAGCATGTCTGCTGCTCAATGCCTGGGGGGAAACGATTTATAACGCAGAAGCACAGTTCGAGGCTACACCCTGTAGCTCCTTAATCGCTTTTTTGCGCACTAAGTCCCACACCCCATTCCGTTGTGTACGGACATTGCCCAATCCATCCCTAATCTCCTCCAGTCGCTCAACATACTCGCGCCCATCGTCCTGAAGCTCGCGTAGAGTTGCAAGCGATTTCTCAAGATTCTCCAGTTGAATGTCAGGATGTGCCATGTGCCCATCGTCGTACGTTGGCGTTGTTGAGTCTGGTATCGAGAGAAATAGTTTGTGGACGACTGGGGTCAAGTCCGGTATGTGCGCCAATCGCCGCTCTCTTTCCTCTTCCTCATCGCCCTCGTCCTCGCGCTTCGGGACTACTGGAGCCTCGCCCGGTGTCTGTTCCGGGTCCTCGCTCATTGCTTGCCAAAGCCTGCCTAGCGCCCGCCGCATGGAAGCTTCACCCTCAATAAGATTGTTTGTGGCGCTCTCCAATTCGTCGAGCAACCGTGACCGAAAGGAGCTCGTCACTGCCTTGTCCATGACAAAGGATGTGTAGGAAAGGTGTTGTGCGCTCGGAGTGGGGTACGGGGCCATAAGAGGAGGCGAAGGAGACCGTAAGTAGGGTATTGTAGCAGGCGGGGAGTGTTCGGGCTCTTGAGACACCAATAGTCTGATACGTTTTCTTGCACGCTCCTCAATCTGGACTGTTGGGGTCAATATGAATCAGCAGGAATGGAGGGCTAAATGCGTACCTCCCAATCTTCCAGTCCAGGACCCCATGCCGCAAGCTTGCCTTTGCGAATCCACCTCGCATCATGTATGCTCTTACGTCCCCAATTGCCCATAACAGAAGTGAACCGAACGTCGTCGTTAGCATCCCCATGAGAGGGATAGTACCACGCGTTCTTGTCGAAGGAAGGAAGAGTAGCTATGCTGTCAATACATATGAGCAAAAGCAGCGTCGTCGGAGACAGAGACGAACCTAGGATCCTCGTATCTCGCGTCTGAGTCAATAATTGCCATGTTGAGATTCCGCTTCTGCACATGACTCTGAATATGGACATTATGTGGCAGATCATGCATGCCTGTGGAAGTCTGGATTTCGTGGATAGTGATATCTGTAGCCATAAGCACGGCAGGAGCATTGGGACAATTACTTTTGAATTGGTGAACCAGATGTAGCGCTCATTCTCGGCAGCGACCGGCGCGCTGCTATTGGTGGGCATGGTCGCCTTCGTCCCTGCTGCATTCTCCTGAGGCCGAGAGGAGACTACATTCCGGCCGTCTATCTAGCTTCACGTTGAATTGCTGTTCAAATTCTTAGTCTGTCGTATCGCATATACTGATCTTGTCTGTGTCCTGGAGTATACAGAGGAAGACTACAAGTTGCGTCTCTTGACGCGTCTATGGCTAATATCGAAATTCTCGATCCATCCGAGAAACCCAAGGCGGTAGGTGCGAATGGCGTACACACAGAGCCAAGCGATGGAGGAACATCCAGAGACAGCGGTTCTGTAGGAGAGGTCTCGGAGGGGCATGCTGGAGCCAGCCCTATGTCCCTTTCTCCAGGGCCAACACCCTTCAGAGTAAGCCCCACGAGCGGCCTATCCTCTAGCCAGTCAGGCGTACCTGCTTTGAGCATGCCACATCCCAAGAAATTCACCCATAGCAATATCAATAAAAAATTCTTGGAGAAGACATCGTCGACGTCCCCTTCAGGTCAGACCCTGTCCACAAGTGTGACAGCAAAAGTTGGAAACTCAGCTCGTACGTGACGATACATGCTTACTTTGATCTGAAATTATCAATAGGTCTTTTTGTAAGCAGAAAAGCCTGCAGTGCCAGCTGCACAAGCGCATTCTCGACTAGTTACCGCCAAACTCACTGCAGCTCCACAATCAGCCACTACGACTGGACCTGGATGGTCTCGACCACCATCTTCTGTGCCCTCCACTGCCCCTACGCCTCCAGCTGCAAGCAATTCGAAGCCAATTGCGGTTCCTGCACCCACTACCGGTCATGCTGCACCTCAGCCCACTCCCATTGGCAAAGTCATCCAGCCACAACCACGCGGGGTATCCGAAATGTTTGTAGGAGTTGTTAAAAAGGACAATATAAATAAGCCTGCGTGGGGGAATACGAAGGGTATGACACCGATTGTATCGAACTTGAACGCAGCTGCTAGCGACTTCCCCACCGCAGCAGAAGTTGCACAAGGTACGCTCATGAGAAAGCAAAGTCATTTTAATCGATGTATTCATTTTTGATAGGGCGAACTTCTAAAGTGCTAGAGAAGCAGGAAGCTGCTGAAACGGCCGCAGCTCAGAAGCAGGCCGTTTCAGCAGAGGAAGATACGTTTCGTGGTGTTCATCTGGATCCAAACGCACATCATTGGGACGAGGTCTGTCTTTGGGGTTACGCTGTCTGTCTTGTGCATAGTAGAGTGTAACTTATGTTCTGTCTAGATGGAAGAAGATGATGACAATATCTTCCTCGGTGGAGTAATCGAATTTGAGGATGGGCGGCAGTACAAAATCCAACCAACGGAAGTTACTCAACAGTCCTCATCTCCCCGGGAGCCGTCTGCGCTAGATGCAAACGGTGCAGTTGCATCCACGAGGCATCCTGAACTTGACCAGCCTGTCAGCAAGGAAGACAGGTTCGCGGACGATTTTGATCGAAGCTGGCCACGTTCAAGGCCCAGTGGGTTACCTTATGGTCAGCGTGATCAGATCTCGAATGGAGCTCCGTCTTCTGCTTCGTCCCAATCTATGCAATCACCGCAGGAGACATCACGCGTATTGTTCAATGAGAGGTCCAACAGACTGGAACCTTACTCCAATTCAATTCCATCCATCCGCCAGAGTAGCACCAGCTCACATTTTGCGCGAAGAGGAAGTCGCACTGAGTTTACGGGATCTCCTACAGAGTTAAGGGGCGTTCGTGATGTGCCTCCTCATGTTCATGTCCCAGGAGTTCAGCTTTTACAAAAGATGACCACTCCTAATGACTTACGAGCTGATGGCAGCTCTCATTCCCGTTTCCCCGAAAATCAGTCCGGACCAATGGCAATATCTCCTACCGAAACCAGTCGTCCTAGAGATCGCGATCGAGAATTTTCACGACAAGATTCTTCCCCTGTCCTGACCCGGGCACCATCGCACGGGTACCAAGGGCGGCCCAAGGACCATTATAATCCGTACAGTATGCCATCACTTTCACCTGTAGGTGGTGGCGACGACCGTCCACGAAGGACTTCAACCATGGGACCTCCGCCACTTCCGTTGCCACCAGGCAGAGACGGGGGCCGGCAAGCTCCTCCCCACCTGTCTACAGCGCGACCTCCACTTCCTGCATTCTCGCAAGCAGAGGGTCGGCATCCACCGGCTCTGAACTTGAATGTGGGACCACCTCCGGCTGCTGGAGCACCCGTGCTATCTCCACTGAGTTCAGCAGTTTCGCCCACGACATCTGAGAAGCCACTTCAACCCTCTGCGTTGCCTTTAGTTGATCTCGATGAAGTGCGTAAAGCCGCAATGCATTCCGCGGCAGAACGCGCTCGACTACGACGGCAGCAAGAAGAAGAAGAACGAGAACGAGAGAAGGAACGTGCTCGTAAGAAAGCGGCTGAGCTAGAAGCGAAAATGAGGTCTGAAGAAGAGCAGATGGCTTTATCAGTGACTTTTCCGAGAAAGGAGGACATCATGGAATCTCAGGTGTGTCTCAACAAATATTCAATTGACCAACGAATAGTAATCTCCTATGATGCCAGGTAATTGAGATGATCGAGGAGGCTGTACAAACTGCGACACAAGGTTCGGACACTCGACGCAGCGTGCAGTCCATCGGAGGTGAGGTCCAGCCACCTTCCCCAAGACCTGCTTTCACACGAGCACCATCTTCAAGAGGTGCCCCACGTCTCAATCAGAGTCGACGCACTTCATTCCCTGCGTCTGGTGCAGGGCAAGACGTACCGTCACTAGCGACTGAAGTCGATTCTTGGCGCAGCAAGGCGCCTCGTCGACAGTCGACCTCCCGATCGGAGAAGCCTGCCACACCTACTGGTCCATTCCTGCCACAGCCCTTGCTTACGGAAGTAGATGTCCTCACTGTACAGTCCAATGAGGACCTGGAAGTGGTTGACTTTTCCGATCTTGGAAAATTTGTGGGTATTGATCATGCGCCAGCTTCAGAGGCAGCACAGAATCTGGCTTCACGGCCGTCAAGACCTGTAGCTGCTGACTTTTTTGAGAGCAGTGTCCCTTCAGTTGCGGACCGGCCGCGTCAAGGTCACGATGAAGAAGGCTCCTGGAGACGCAAGTCTATTCAACAATACACGTATGCAATCGAAATGGCAAGTTCCGGTGCTGCAGCGGAAGCCCTGAAGCCGCAAATCACTCCAGATGCACCCAAAGTAGCGAACATCTCTGCACCCGCGAGCGCACATGACTACAGGGCTTCCGACGAATCCATCCAGACATATGTTGGGATCGCTCATCCGTCATCATATCATCATGCCTCGCAGCGTTCACCTCTAACGCCGTCTTATCGAGAGGCATCCATGTCAACCCTCAATGATGTTCTCTCGAGAATCAAAGGTGCCTTGGATGATATGCATGTGAAGCCAGAACCCCCGACGCATCAAAAGTGGCTACCCCCCGCTCTGCGGACACAGTCTCGTGATGTTGAGCAGAATGCCCCTGGCGAAGTCTTCGATGTGACTGGATATGAACCACCTCGGTCTCCAAAACCCGCGTGGAAAGTCTATTCCGTGAAGGTTCCTCGCGACACAAGGTCTCTCAGACCTATCACGAAACAGCAATCACAGATGCTCCACAAAAAGCCTTTGCTATGGTCTGAAGTGTTCTCGTGGAGTCCTCCTTCAGGAGCGAGCACCCCTAGCGATGTCCTCTTCCCTCTATTATCTTCTATCAGAGGTCCTATCAGGTACCGCGTAGCTTTACCTCGGCATCGACCTCGATCCCCGCCGAACATCAAGGAGAATACCGTAGGTTTAATAGTCAACTTACCACCAAAATCAGGTGCTCCTCGTTTGAGTCCTAGCAATTCCAGGATAGTAGACACGTCGTCTAGCTGGCGGAGAGCCTCGCCATTGTCCGTGGTGAAGGCCCCTCACCCAGAGCTAGATACTGTCAGCCGGTCACCACCGCCTGAGGCTCCTCTTGCTTCTTCAACAGGAACTTCCTTACCCAAAGTCGGGGTGATTTCTCCTCAGTCAACCAGCGATGCATCGCCTAAGCCAAGGTCGCAACCCAAGATGCCTGTTGGTTCCGAAGTTGCTTTCTACCGTGATGCGCGAGTTGATCCTGCTGCACAGTCGAAGGTAGCGGTAAATTTCATAGTCACTAGCGAATTGGAGGATGGGAGCCAGTCGGCTGTTGGTGACGCGCCAGGAGGGGCAGCGGCGCAGGCCAAAATCCCACCTGTCTCCTTACTGGAAAAGATGCCAGAGGACGGTACTGGATCGCTTCCTTTGGAACATTCACATGTCGAGGATTTTGTGCCAAGCGTAATGGACAGCAAAGTTGACCCTGAGACGACGAGTTTGCCGGTGAGTCAGCTTCCTTAGGCTGCTATCATGACCATTTGCCTTAACTTTGAGCGTACAGCCTGAGCGCGCAGTGATCACCCCCCCGCCTCATGCGACTAGCAGTTCACGGACAAAGTCACCAAAAGCTTTCCCTAAAGAATCACCATCAAGGGCCCCAGACCCTGAACATTTGAAGGCCTTATGGTCCCAGACTTCGAACAAGGCCGAGCTGCCGTCAATCAACTCCCTTGAGGGTATCGCTGATGATTTGACCGCTGTTCCATTTACTTTACACGAAGTAAAATCAGAGGATGGCGGAACACCTCCACCCTCTGGCCCAGGGCTATCATCGAGAATGTCATCATTGGACGTTACTCGTGCTTTCCAGCAGGTCCCACCATCATCGACCAACTCCCCTCTCAGGAGTTCCACAATTCCCCCGATTTCATCACCACCAAATGGAGCAGCAGCGCGGCCAAACCACCCATACCTACCCGCCATGTCTAATTCCAACCTACGCACACCATATGCTTATCCTTCTCCTATGTTGGGCCATGCACCTAGTCCAACTGTCATGTATCCTCATATGACATCAAGCCCTGCTCCCAGGCCGATGATGGTCAATGGCCCCCCCTCACCATACGCTCAACCGATGTGGATGCCCGTACAAGGACCAACAGGACAGCCTCCAGGCACGATGATGCGATCGCCATACCCTGCGCAGCTCATGCCGTATCCTTCACCTGGCACACCTGTATATGGTCCTCCACCTGGTCCTGCCGGCTTGCAGAATGGTTCAGCGCAACAATCAAATGGAGCTCCAAACCGCGGTCCCGCCATGCCTATGATGAGCCCAATCATGCAGCCCGCCCACGCAGGCCATCCCATATATGCCAATAGTCCTGTCATGCTGCATTCGCCATCTCTCGTCCCAGTACCACCGGGTCATGGATATCCTGTCAACCGAGGCCAAATGCGGGGAGCGTACGACTCGGGGTTGCCCGTAGCGTCTCCGTCGGCTGGTCATCCTCCTCAACAGCACCATCCAGGACCATATACAGTAGCTCCGAATGCCTTTACTCGGCCGTCGTGGTAGACTTCAATATCTTCATATATGTAGTCTTGCCTAGTCAGATCCTGCAGTGCTGTTATATCATCATACCCTCTGCGAGCGGCCTCGTATATATTGTTTTCTTGATCATTTCTTTCATCATTCGCTACAACTCGGCATGCAATTGTGAGATAATCTATTGAAAACATAAGTCAAAGGTGCGTGCTGGTACATATACATTATCCCCCAGTCTATGCTCGTGCGAGTTGTACCGCGCTCTCTGCAGCCTCATCAAGTTCATCGAAAGGTATAATTTTCAGGCCAGACTCGCGGATCATTCTGGAGGCGAGGTAAATAGCCTGTTATCAGCCACGATAGAAGACAAACTCACTGTTTCGCTTGACTCTCCATCGTTCCCTTTAACCGGACGATTAATGGAATGCTGAGGCCAAGTTCTTTCGTAGCCTTGATCACACCCTCCGCAATATAATCGCAACGCATGATACCTAAAGAACAAAGTTCAGGAACAAATACACCATATAAACTCAGCACATACCGCCAAAGATGTTGATGAAGATACTCTTGACCTTGGGGTCAGCCAACAGAATCTCAAACGCCTTCTTCACTGTTTCTGGAGTAGCACCTCTGAAAGTCAACAATAAGGGCTCGTACAAATGAAACAGCTGTCCAGGTTTATCTTACCCTCCGACGTCAAGAAAATTGGCAGGGTTGCCTCCGTGAAGAGCAAGAACGTCCATTGTAGCCATAGCTAATCCAGCACCGTTCACTAGGCAACCAATGTTACCATCCAGCTTAATGAAGTTGAGGTTTGCTTTCTGGGCCTCAACTTCCGACACCTCCTCTTGGGTAATGTCACGGAGCGCGAAGATATCCTTCTGGCGGAAGTCTGCGTTGTCGTCAAAGCCAAACTTGGCGTCCATGCTATTTACCGTAAATAAGATCAATTTGCGAGGAACATACTGGACACGCACCATAGTACATGGCCATCCGCTGTCTCACCGAGCGGATTAATCTCAATCTGCGTAGCATCCTTCTCCTTGAAAATCTTATACAAGTTAATGAAAGTTTCGGCAGCCTCGTTCTCCGCATTCTCGCTCTTAAAACCAAGCTTCTTCGCGACACTCAGAGCCTCTGCTTTGCTCAGGCCCTTCTCGAAGTGAATGGGGGTGGTAATGATGGCATCGGGATCTTTGGCGGCAACCTCCTCAATATTCATACCACCTTGCGCAGAGACAACCAGGACTGGACCTGACGTTGCACGGTCGTTCAGTACAGCGACATAGTACTCGTGTGAAGCGTCTCGGCGTTCTGCTAGCATGACCTAAAAACACTATATTGTTAGGACCTCTCTTGTGTGTTATTAAGTAGATACTTACAGTGTTGCAAATTCGGCCGGCAGCACCCGTCTGCTTTGTGATGAGCTTCGCACCCAGCATCTTGGACGCAAACTCCTTTGCCTGCTCAGGACTTGCCGGAGCTATTACAAAAATACCAGACTGAAACAGATCAACGCACCTTTCCACGACATGTACACCGCCTTGGAAGCCATTATCGAACTTGCCCTTTCCTCGTCCACCAGCGAGAACCTGAGCCTTGATAACACAGCCAGTCGATCCTTCCTGCGGTGTTAGCGAGGCAAATAGGCCGTCTAAACAACAACCCGTACCAAATTGCTTTGCGATCTCATATGCTTCTTGAGGCGACTGCGCAGGAATACCCTTGGGTGTTGAGATACCATACTAGAATGCATTTAAGTGCGGCAAAGATGCAAAGCAATGCGGCAACGAACGGAGTTCAGGAGCTTCACTGACTGGTATTCGTGTATGGAGAGGAAGCGCCTCTGGCCGGCAGACGCGATCTAGACTATGGTCAGAGGACCGTTTGACGGAATAAAGATGGCTAAACACACCCGAGCCAAAGAGCCCGCTTTCCTGAGTGATGCGAACATGGAGGGATGGACAAGTGTGAAGCACGAAGCCCTTGGTCAACAGCGAGTGTCCGGTATTAATGCCAGCAAGCAGCGGCGTTTGAGACTAGGATGGGCGGGCTTTGACCTGTAGCGGCGTTAGCAAAGAGGACGGCTACCCGGTGCTTAGTCAGCAACGGTATTTTCCCTCGCTCTCCGTCCGACTCGTCTCCGAAACCGAAAAGTATCGGCGACCAGGACGACGATGACGGTAGACGATTGCCCACCTTCTTCCTGTCTCTCACCTATCATTCTCACAGAGTGTGGTCGTGGCTATGTCCTGGCAGAAGAACAGTCATCCTCGCTTTGAGTTCGGACTGCTTACTTTGGGTTGTTCGAAATTATGCAGAGGAACATCTCGACGATCCCGTTCTATGTCCCAATCTGCCGTATGTATGTACCCAACCGAGACCCGTGTATTGATTGGATGTATCATCTCTGGGAATGACCTTTCCTCATGCTGTCCGTATCACGCCTATGCTTACGAGTTGCTGCTCATTGTGAACGCGTGTGTAACAATTTCCCGCCACCACGTCTTGGGTGAATCCAAGCCGAACCTCCTGTGTTGTCTCCTCGATCACAGTTACTACTGCTTAAATAACCCCGCTACCTTTTGCTAGTGGCAGGAATCACGTCCATCATGAACGGCACTGACCATGATACTGATACCAATGACGCTACAGCTCTGACGAGACTGCTCGAGGTCTCTACTACAGTACTTCATCAGGCGGTTGATCTTGTGGACAATACCTTGACGACCGATGAGCAGCTAACTGTGCATTCACAGTACATGCCCGGATCAACGATTGGTATGTGATACAGTGAACGTACACACGATGAACAACGTTGAGATGATTGTGAAGGCAAACATCTAAGGCATGCCAGAGATCATTTCGTTCTTCTGATGGATTCCCTTTCAACGCCTGTGCCTCATGCATTGGACTACGATGTCCGGATACGAAACACACCAATGGAGACCAGCCGGCAGGCCGCAAGAGATGCCTTGGATGCGGCGATCGGTCAGCTAGAGAAAATCGTTCCTGACACAAAAATGGACGAGCAGATTACCCTACATGCAGTTACGCCATATCCGCAAGTCGTCCAAACAACCTTCGGGAGAGAGGTAAGTTCACGGGACGCGAGTTAGCAGTATGATTTTCTCACTCAGTCCGTTCCTCAGCTGTGGTTTGCCTGTTTGCACGCCATACACCATTGGTCAATGGTAAGTGAGGTTTTTATTTTCTGTGAGGGGACTTTGTGGTGCTTATATACGCATCTCAAGGTCCGCGTTATTGCCGGAGAACTTGTGAGTTATGTTCTGAGTAAATGCGGCGATATCCTTATGTGTGTGTAGGGTCTCAAGCTTGAGGATTCATTTGGCTTCGCACCGTCCACATTGGTGCACGCTGCGAGTGGATCGAAGGCACCATTGGGCAGGCCCAAAATGTAGCACAGTCTGTTTCCTAGTATCGTCTTATCCTTGTTGCCGGTTCGCTGCTTTTATAGTTTATGCCATTTCGCCTATATTCTGTATGCGCGCGTACCCTCTGAGAGCAACTCTAGAGTTGAGGATAAAGGTATGGTGGTCAAAGCGTCGACAAGTCGCCAGCTGTAGGCGCTTACACCACGGCCTTCTAGTACTACTTCCTGTTACAGTGTTAGAGTGCCGCTGTGGTGACCTTGGACGCACGTGAATCATTGAACAACTCGAGTCGGCGATTGGCACAGTTTCAGGCGCATAATTTGGCGCGAACTACTTAGTACTTACCTGTGTTGTCCTCGCTACTCGACCACGAGTACCCTAAAATGGCTCCAGAGATGATTCCGCTTGCGGGGGAAGAAAATAAGAAGCGTGTCGTAAGCATTGCTTATTCCTCTGGCTGGAACCAACTTCCAATCTATTTAGCTGACAACTGGAATATGTTTGTATAGTGCTACTTTTTCGACTCGGACGTCAGTGGATTTCATTATGGTCCTGGCCATCCGTGAGTTGTGAATGTGATCCGATTTTTCTATGCGACATCATTTCGTTCAGAATGAAACCCACACGCATTCGCATGTGTCATTCCCTTGTGATGAATTACGGGCTATACAAGAAGATGGAAATTTTCGTAAGCAGTTGGCTATTCTTGTGAATCATGTATACTTACAATACCTGTCGCATCAGCGAGCCAAACCTGCCACAAAACGAGAGATGACGCAATTCCACTCTGACGAATACGTAGAGTTCCTCAGCCGCATAACCCCCAGCAATATGCAAAACTTTACTAAAGAACAGCACAAATGTCAGTGAGAGTGATTTCCGACCGCCCAATCTGTATTCTCACATCTACCAGACAACGTGGGGGATGACTGTCCAGTTTTTGATGGACTGTTCGAGTATTGTTCCATTTCAGCAGGTGGCTCCATGGGTACATTTTTGGAGGTTTCGACGATGATTGGCTGTGTTGACCAGTGTGAACTCTAGAGGGTGCTGCGAGGCTAAGTCGCGACAAGTGTGACATTGCGGTCAACTGGGCGGGTGGACTTCACCACGCGAAGAAGAGCGAAGCAAGTGGATTCTGTTACGTAAATGGTAATTTATCCGTATTTCAGTGTTTCAAGCACATCTCTGACTCGCTTTCGCAGACATTGTACTCGGGATCCTTGAGCTACTCCGGTAGGTGGTTTCCATGTGCTACCGAGCCTACAAGCTTTCATTTCTGGGATAAATAGATATCACTCAAGGGTTCTCTATATTGACATTGATGTCCACCATGGAGATGGTGTCGAAGAGGCTTTTTATACTACAGACCGCGTCATGACTTGCAGTTTCCACAAATATGGCGAGTTCTTCCCCGGTACCGGTGAGCTTCGGGTGCGTCGTTATCACATCAAAATCTGTCTGGAGGCTGAGATGCGTCCAGGACATCGGAATTGGCAAGGGTAAAAATTATGCGCTGAATTTTCCTTTGAGAGATGGGATAACAGATGAAAGTTATAGGAGCGTCTTCGAACCAGTGCGTGTTCTTCATAAATCAAATTTCAACGAATATGCGATCTCATCGATAGGCTAGGTTATTCGTTCAGTGATGGAACATTATGACCCTGGAGCAATTGTGCTGCAGTGTGGTACTGACTCGTTATCCGGCGACAAGCTAGGATGCCTCAATCTGTCGATGAGAGGTAACGAAGCCTATGTTATAAAACACAGATGGTCTGACTGTCACTAGGGCATGCGAGCTGTGTGAAGTTCGTCAAGTCTTTCAACAAGCCGCTTCTGCTTTTGGGTGGAGGTGGGTATACCATGCGCAACGTGAGTCGGTGTTGGGCCTACGAGACCGGTCTGGCCGCAGGGGTTGAGCTTGGTTCTGGTTTGTGGCTTTATGCAAGCCTGTATGTGCGAAATTTACTCATACGAGCAGAGATTCCGATGAACGAGTACTATGAGTACTTTGGACCAGACTACGAACTTGATGTCAAGGCATCCAATATGGAAGACCTTAATACTCCTGGTTATTTGGAACGCGTGAAGAACATCATTTTGGAGCATGTGCATCAGATTGGTGGACCGCCGAGTGTCCAAATGCAAGGTCTGCACTTGTACTTCTGAAGCGTGTCCGAATTTTGACATCCCACGTAAAACCAGATATCCCACGAATTCCGGTAGATGATATTATGGATGATCCTGGCCGAGATGACGATTTGATCCCTCCGGACGAACGGCGGCCACAAAGCATCTTAGATTCAAGACGCCAGGCCGATGGCGAGTTATCGGACTCTGACGACGAAGGAGAAGGAGGACGACGAGATCATGCGAGTCATCGTGAACTAGATGGTACAGGTTCAGCAACTGGTCGGAGGTTCGGTGCCGCCGTGGGTATCATGAGCAGCGGCTCGACGCATGGTGTTGGACCAAGCGTCGCACCCCCTGTGACGAGCGCTGCTCCACCGAGTGGTATTTCTGGCACTGCTGGCACTGGTACTGCTACCGCTACCGCTACTGGGAGTAGCTCCCAGTCCGACATGGACATTGACGAGGAATCGTCCAACGGACAAATTAGTACCGCAACGAGGCCACGATCAAAATCAAAGCCACCGGCTCCATCGACAAGTAATACGTCCGCTGATGTTCCTATGTCTGGCCCAAGTTGATTGCACGACTTGCTATACCTACGTTCTTCAAATCACGTTCTTCTCATGATGCTCATGTTGATAGGCTGATGCCTGTGCGCTTGTATTAGCCTTCCGATCACTTCTGCTGGTGCGAGGCTACTATGTATGATACAAAGTGACCCCGTATGTGTTTTCGCGCTGAGGTATGTAGTTCTTGCCCCCGTGCTAAGCAATAGCAGACCTCAATCATTAATTACATTATTAGAACACGTTAATTGCTAATGAAATTCTGTCACGTGATCGCGTCGCGTTCGCTTAGTAATACGTTTCTGAACAGTAGCGTGATGTCAGTAACGCACTCTCCGAGTCGTCGTAAGTACTTCTCGGTAACATTCATCATGTCCGAAGCCGGCCCCAGTGTTATGAGAACATGCACGCCCCCTCCACAGATACCGACAAATCTACCACTCACCCCGGAACAAATTAAGCGAGTCGAGATAAACCGGCTCAGAGGTGCGTACCTATGTCTTGTGGAAACTTGGTTGAACGAACGTAGTCAGCCAAGGCAAGACAGCGTGAACGCGAAATAGAGAGATCCAGCTCCTTAGCTCTCAATGCCAACAACAAGCGTTCACTCAATGTCGTCCCCGCAAACTCGACATCTCCTACCGCGCCCAAGCCACCACCAAAGTTGCAGCGTGACTCCCGTCTTGGGAAATATTTTGAATATGACCTATCTAAGATGGTCAATTCAAAAGGAGGGTTTCTTGTCGAGGAAGGCAAGGAGGTAGACGAGGAATTGAGAGCTAAGGAGAAGGAGCGCGAGAGGCAGAGGACTATGCAAAACTTAGATCCGCGTACGTCAAGCCCAATCTCCTTTTCGTTTCGTGAACTCATGCATGGTTGTTCAGCTATACACCTTGATCCCAAGTTAAACCCAAGATGTAATCAGTGTCGATCTGCGGATATAGATCAGACATACAAGAAGGTGTTTGGCTGTCTCGTTTGCAATAAATGCAAGAACGAGAATCCAGAGAAGTATAGCCTTCTCACCAAGACAGAGTGCAAGGAGGCAAGTTCCTCTCTTTCCATAACTTTGAGTTGCTTATGCAATACCATACTTGAATCATCTAGGACTACCTACTCACAGATGGTATGAGGATCTCCCCCCTTAGTGGCCATATTGATTTATCTTCGCATTAGCCGAACTGCGGGATCAAGACCTCATGCCTCATCTATTAAAAGCAAATCCGCACAAGTCGACATTCGCCAACATGATGTTGTTCCTCCGATATCAGGTCGAGGAATTCGCATGGAAGAAGTGGGGATCGTCAGAAGCTCTAGATGCCGAGTACGAACGGCGTATGGCTGAGAAGAAGAAAAAGAAAAACAAGAAATTTGAAGAAGGGTTGAAGGAACTGAGGAGACGAACCAGGGAGACAGTGTGGCAGAAACGGAAAGATCAGGAACATAATCACGTCTTCGGAGTTGTTGAGAAGGGCGCAGATGGCGTTGGAAAGCAGGTTTGTCATGAATGCGGATTCACAATAGACGTGGAGGAGTTTTGAGCCTCGCCATTTATTGTAAATAAATATACACTTTGCACTGTCGCTTCGTCCGAGCGCGACGCTTACTTTCTTGGAGCGATCTGCACTCACTATGCTGCTGGCGGTACCTGCATGGTCAGACTTATCGGAGACATGAGCACTGAGAGTGACTGAGTCGTGGTGAGGTGGCCCGATCACGTACGGCTATCAATTGTCCGAGTCCAGTGCAGCATGATACTTGGCGGCATTCTGTCAAACTCGATCCGGTGTCTCGGGGAGAAAAAGTAGCCGCCGTACCATCTCCCGATTCCCGCTAAGCTTCAAGTTCGACCATAAACCGCATCGTCGCCGAGTCCAGCGAGCTGTGTTCGCTTCTGCCCCCATCTTCTTCGTTTACACCCAGTTACAGTAGAGTTGCAGCCATGGCTGAGGTTGCCGATGGGCAAGAAGAACACCAGCAGATTGCGACTGCGCTCGACCTCGAGCACATAGACGTCAACCTTTTCCGGTCCAAGTCTCTGTGGCTTCCAGTGAATGCTAGAGGTGTCTTTGGAGGTCAGGTCATCTCGCAAGCCTTGGTTTCTGCCACAAACTGCGTAGACCCGGCATATACATTACATGTGCGTCGCTGCAATCCAATTTCCTCTATTGTGAGTGCGATAACTTGCGCCAACAGTCTCTCCACGTAGGTTCCCCGTCATGGCTCTTGCAACGTTTCGCGTAAAGACCAACACTATCGTCTAGTGTTATTTCTTGCTCAGTGCTTCACCAGCCGATCCCATTATTTACCGTGTCGAACGGACCCGCGATGGGCGTTCCTATGTAACTCGAACAGTCCATGCGACCCAACGAGGACGCACCATTTTTGTGATGACCTGCTCCTTCCAGCGGCCGGAACCTGGACAACTCACACACCAGTGGCCAATGCCGTCGGGTCTTTCCAATCCCGAGCAGTGCGAGAACGCGGAAGCGCACTATGAGAAGCTGCTTCTCCATGAATCTCTTGATCCTCGCATCAGGAAGTATGCCGAGCAATATGTCGCGGTATGTTAAGTGCGAAACTATAACCAGCCATGGCTTGCTAGATATCACGTATCACAGGAGCGTAAACGGAGTCCTATGGCGATCAAAACCGCAGGTATCAAGTACGCATCGAATGGTGCTACATTATATATGTGGTGGTTCAAGGCGAAAAATATACCCAAATATCCTATATCTTTCCAGAAGGTACGCAGAGACCTTCTCAGTCCCTTGTTATGCCCTAAATTAACTTCCTCCTTCAGTGTATCCTGAGCTACATGTCAGACTCTCAGTTGTGAGTATGACATCCTGTGTGTATCCTTTCACGGCTGATGTCGACCGCGTTATAGCATCGGCGTCGTCCCTCGCACGCTTGGCTCCTATTATTACTTGCAAGGCCCCAAACAGCTTCTCATGATGGTATGAAACACATCTCCGCGTGGTCACTCTAACACTCACTGCGAGCGCTAAGACATCCCTTGATCACACGATATGGTTCTACGAGTAAGTCTTCTGGCAGATGATGCTCCGTTTGTCTAAATATTATTTTAGCAACAATTTTGACTGTGGTGACTGGCTCCTCTACGTGGTGAGATTGAATGCTTGCACACTTGTCAATCGTATATGCTGAACTTCACTAGGTAGAGTCACCCCGATCGGGCGAAGGACGCGGTGTGGTGCATGGCCGTGTAAGTATCGAGCTGCAGTCTTTTTGAAGCTTGAGTCTCAACAATCCGTAGATGTATACCAGGGATGGCACACTAGTTGCGGTCACCTCTCAGGAAGGGGTCATACGAGCGCGAGGCTTCGAGCCTAAAGACCCGAGTGCTGGAGAACCAAAGGTCAAGCTATAGGATAGACTGCTTTTTTTTGAAAGCAAGAAACCTCAGACTAATTTTCGTAACTAATAGCATGATGCATAATCCATAATGGATGATTTTAGATAGCGTACATGGCGTGAGACGATGTAGAACGATGGCGGGGAACGTGGGCCAACGACCTCATCCTACGCAATGGGTTAGAAAGAAAACATAATGCCGACATAGGCTGAAGCACTAGCCAGACAGTGGGGGAGCATCAGAATACACTACCCTATGATGTACGGGGCTTGCAGTCGAAACGATGTGAAAATATGCGCGATGGAACCCAAGTGCGATATGCTAGTGCGATACAAAGCTGACGAAGATAATGTAACAACGGAAAACTTAGTTCTTCCGACGGTACGAGCTCCCTAAAGGTGACGGCCACTTAGTCTTTCATACTAGAGCGGATCACGCTGGATAAACGTACCCTCAGTCAATCTTGCCTTTCCACCTGTAGGTTGGCAGAGGACACTAGCGCACGCCCCACAGAGCACTACGGTTTGCGCGTGCGAGAAGACAGTCGTTATGGCAAAGCAACCTGGCGGATGGGTGAGATTAGCATGAACAGGGTCTTTCTTCAGGGAGCAGGCTCGGACACATACCAGGGCATTTAACATCCATGAAGTACGAGTTGGGGGACTGCACAAGTCGCTTGAGCTTGTGTCTCCTCTTTTCGGCCTCAGCAGAAGGGTTAAGGAGGTCGATGGCGAGAGTCTGATGGTAACATAAGCAACATATCATTGTCACTCCGGTGCTTGTAGAAGAAAAGCCATGCTATACGCACCATTTTTGCTGAAGGATTGGGGTGGAAGAAGCGTTGATGAGCGTTGACGAAGGGACAGACTTTTGCACGACGCCCGGGTCGACCGTGGATAGAGACAAGAGATTAAGGTTCAGGAAGTATCGCTTAGGTTTGAGCGGACATCGAAATTTCTGGCACCGGGTGGCTGCCAGTAGCCACGGCATCGGAAGTACCTCGGAAGCACTCAGTCGACACAGGCACTTTCTCGGACGCGTCGATCACTGAGCCTCGGGCTCTCCGTACTTACAGTAACTCCAAGCTTCAAGAATTTACAAGTCTTTGGGATCACGCTATTTTTCTTTCCGGCTTGTTATGCCAACATACATTGTCTAGTGAAAATGAGTCGCACGACCGATGGCTTTATATGTGTTTGAAATCACGCTTGCGGGCTGCGGCGAACCATGGCAGTGAACACCACCCCGGATCCGCAGAACTCAGAGTCACTAACTACGTGCAAAGATTACGAATAACCTGTTGCATGAGATGATGAGACGGTGAGATCTCACTAAGGGGAAGACAGCATGAAAGCTTCTGCCAGCTGCGGGCTCCCGTTGTGCAAAGAACCCTTGTCCTTGATTCATGGGCACCGCCTTCGGGGACATTACGCTATTTCCAAGAATCCAGCTCGCAACGGGATTGCAAATGAAAGTGGACTTATTCTACTAACAAGAGACCTGTGCTCTGATAATGAAAAATGGAAGTCGGCAATAATCTCAGTTACATGGGACAGTCGGAAGTATCGAAGATGACGAGGACAATTGAGCAGGAACCACATCAGCTGCAGAAATTTCGTGTTGACCACACATACGAGCCCATCAGCCGAACTGACAGCATGAGCGAAGACAAACAGAGCTCGCAATTGTTCATTATGGAATTTGCCGAGAATGCGAGGTGATATGATGAGCCACGTGGCGATGAAACCGGGGAAGCCGCGTCCTTTGTGGCCCGAATAGGCAACTCTGCACGTCGCTTTTTGTCTACGGGCCATTTTATTGTTCTTGCTTCGCTACGATTCGTCTATGGGAAATGACCATTGTTTTGCTTGGGCGCTGTTTAATCGTACCGAGGATTATAAGTAATGGCCTATCTGGCCTGGAGTCTCTCCAACCCAGGACTTGGTTCCAGTCGTCTCCTGTTACTTACTCTCGTTAGTCCCAAACCAGCCTCTTGTTAGGTGAGTTCAGATCTCCCATTGAGCAAGAACCAACCATTAATCGAGCGACTCTGTCGTAGACTCTTCATTTGCCTTGTTGCATCGTCCATTCACTGCAATCTTGCACGACCGTCTCTGAACGTTCCAGGACTCGCAACACTTTCCCATCACATACGCATTCGTCTCCTTTAGCGAGCACCCTCCCGCATATCTATCGCAGGTCGATCCATTTCGCAAGGACACTCCCATTTATCTACTACCAAGTACCCCTCGCTTAATCTCATCCACTACCACACTCATTGCAATGGCCGCTTCCACCACCTCCGCGTTCGGTTCTCTCTCCGTCACCCTCGCTCAGGCGGTCGCTTACCTCACTCGCTCCTTGATCGTTCGCTACTCCGCAACCACCATTATTAAGCTTCAGCTCGCACTTGAGGCTAACCTCACCGCCCAGTTCGCGCCATCGTGGGTTCCCAACGAGCCTCTCCGCGGCTCTGGCCGTCGTTGCCTCACTCTCACGCCTAACGCCCTCCCTCCTCGCTCGATCTACAACGCTTGCAAGAGTGCGAACGTCGAGTGGTCCGAGTGGATCGCACTCCTCGGTGGTCTGGAGTTTGACCTCTTCATTGACCCTGGCTGCATCTCGGTGCGCTTCGGCAACTGGGACGCAGGCAAAGTGAGCAAGTTCTTCACAGTGTGGTCGGAGGAGCTTGCGGCAAAGGCCCAGGAGTCGCAGCGCCCCGCACCTGCCGCCGCCACGAACAAGAGCCTCGCGCAAGAGTTGTTCGAGATAGAGCAGGATGAGGAAGAGGAGTTATTCGCCATGATCGCCGACGAAGTCCGGGAGCCGACTTGGTTGACTCCCATCCTCACACAGTTCCCTTCTGTCCCTGCGCTCCCCGCACGCTCTGCCAACGCCTCCCCCGTCTCTGTGAGTTCCACGCACTCGCGCACGAGCTCATCCAGCTCGACCTCCGTCTTTTCTTTCTCCTCGAACGGCAGTGCCGATTCGTACGGTTCCGCGACGACAGTCTCCGTTTCTTCGTGCTCCACGTCCCCCATCGACGAAAAGCCCAAGTTCAAGCTCTCTCGCCGGGAGCGGGCCCGACAGGCGCGCGTTTTCGTCGACACTTCCAAAAAGGAGGTGACGAACTATGACGGTGGCAAGACCACCGTCCTCGGCGGGGGCGTCATGTTGGGCGCTGCGCGCGCAGCCCCCCAGGCCAAGCCGGCGGCGACTCAGACCAAGGCCGACGGCTCCAGCGGCAGCTGGCGCGTCCGCCGTGTATGAGCATTTTGATCATCCACGCCTCCCTCCGACATTCTTCACGACCGTATCGACGCGCGACGAGCTCGCGCAAGCAAGAATGCCTCGTAACGAAAAACACATCGCCAGGATCCTCCACGCGGATCCATATATCATACACCACGCACCCGCGTTTTATATCCCCTTCGCTTGTCGCATTGTCTTCATGACTGGTTCACTGTAGCTCATAAGTATCGCCATTGTGCTGAACACTGGGTAGCATAGGCCTATTGTAATTTCTAATATCTTCTTGCACTTTCTTTCGTGTATCGCTGCATTTGGCTTGCTTGTATTCCGTATTATTATGTACACTGTCGTTCGCTGTAATAACAAAGCTGGTTTGGAGACTACCAATGACACTTGCGTAGCGCGGGCTGGGGTGATCGACCGAAGGAGCTCGTATCTCAAAGTGTGCGCCAAGTGGGGCGTCCTGGAGTGTTTGGTGTCTAAGCAGGTGTCGCATATACTAAGCTCCGCCTGCACACCCCGCTAGGTATATAATCAAGGAGTGCCGATATGGAGTGCATACGAGTGCCGGATCCAAGGGCTAGGGCAAGCACTGTATTATGGCGGCTGCGCAGCCATGTGTAGGGCTCAATCTTTCCATCGTGGACACAAGCGCATGCGTGAAACTCGCTGCTAGTGCGCGACTCGCGACACTGCCCGGCTTGCTCGTGGTAGTCGACAGGCTCCTGGCAAGGTGACTGAGGCGCGCGCGCGCGCGAAGGGATGGTGGACTTGCGAACTTGCACACCTTCCATATATGGGGTATGTCGTCAGTGGGGGAAAGCAGACACGGCGTGGAGCAGTGCTGGAGGACGGAGCGGGGGCGACATAACATCACTGGCATATCGCGTATAAATCCCCCATGGCGAGCCAGCTCTTCCAGCACTACCTCGCTCCCGCCTCACCGCCCCCATCCCCGTCCCCGCACTACTACTACTCGTCCATACACCGCACACTACCATGACCAGCACCGCATTCTGCGACATGTCGAGCGTCGAGACGCAGAAGCAACGCTACTCGCGCGAGCTCGCCGCCTACACTCTCCAGCAGTGGGAGCTCGCCCGGCGGCAGGCACTGGAGAAGGACAGGACGAAAAACAAGCCGTCGTCTTCCAGCCGGACGTCCGCCGGTCCCAAAGACACAAACACTACGCCGCGCGCGTCACAAGGTCAGGTTGCACCCCTGCCGACAGGCGACGGGGATAGGGTGACGAACACTGTTGCAGGTATACAGTCCATCGACTACGCCTCAAAGTTGCGCAATGGCGCAAAATATGAAGGGCGCGTGCTCGCTACCAGACGTGCTTGACATCCGTCCCGCGGGTAAATCTGTCCCGGTTCCACCGCGCCCCCAGATGGCTGACGGGTCGACGGCTTGCAGACTGCTCGCCACGAAGCCACCTGCTGGGGTTGAGGGCGAATTTATTGCTGCAGCGAACATTTAAAATAGGCACCTTACTTGTACATTATGCATACACACCGCATACCACTCGGATGGACCTCCCATATACGGCATCCCACACATCAATGTAGCTATATCACCGCCTCCCGGACCCCGATTCGCTGTACATGTTCTGCATTCTTCCGTAGCTGAGTACCTGGAGGAATCGAACCCATTTGAATCTGCACGAGACACGGGTGTGATGGCGGACATGGGCGGTGCTTGCGCGGCGCTGAGCGGTGACGACGAGGCCGCCGGAGCAGGAACACTGAGACGTCTATAGCGGAGCGCTGCCGCATGGGAAGCGCGAACCAGCGGCCTGAGTGGGTTGCACCCCGCCGATGTCATCTTGTGGGGCTGGGCGAGTACACACAGAAGCGTGGGGACGCACATCTCAAGTGGAGCGTTGAATCAGGCAGCGTCCATTGGTGCATACTTGTCTAATCTGGGCCGCACTCACGCGATTAAACAGAGATGCCAATGGCGTGCTGGAGATACACATACACTCGCAGCTTCCCAGGTCCGCGGTGGAGCCCCTCTGAGTCAGTTCCGACGGCCGCACGCGGGTCGGATAACGGGGTGCGCCTGGGGGACGCGAGGAATGGCCGGAGGGAGGGAGCGCACCGACGCGCGATCGATCGTCCCCTCGCGCTGCAAACCGTCCGGGGGGCGGGGTGCGTCGTGTGTCCGAGGATCGCAGGGAGATGGACGCAGGCAGGCCCCAGTGATGGGTCCGGTCGGAGGAGGGGGGCAAGGCGATGACGGGCACGACCCGCGGGCCCTCGGAGGTGGCCTCCATCATGCCAGGTGCGGGGTGGTTTCGCGCCCCGCCATGCGAGGAGTGTGGGGGGACCGCTGTGCCAAGTCGCCGGCGGTCGTTCGTCAGTGGTGTCCGAACGTGTCATCAAACGCGCGGCCGCGAGGGCAGAAACAGGCGTTCCATTCGGTGGAGTGTGCTTGCGTATCACAGACGTCGTCTTGGCTCACCACGCAGACAGCGAAGACGTGTCCTGCAGAATGGGGGTTTGGGGGTGGGCACGCAGACGCGGTCTTTGGGGCGCTTCGAGTGCGTTAGATGAGTGTGCGTACGGCAGGGAGACACCAGTTCACACGTCTCGCACAAAAATATCTGCCTTGGGCGAAACTAGCGGCCAAGTCGGAAGACGCAAGGTCGCCGGAAAAGGTGAATGTCCAACTTCCAATCCATTCAAAAGTAGGAATAATCGAACGTGCCGCTTGAGGCGTCTTCAACCGCACTTGCATATATGAAGAAGAGCCACTGGCCGTCACTGCATGCTGGACACTAGTGTGGAGCAACAGCAACATATGTGAGAGCCACCAGTGCCGAACACAAAAGTCACGGCTGCAATCCACCTACCAATGATCCGTGTGCGATCCGGGGCTCCAGGGCGCCTTTGAGATGAGCCACGTAGCGGATTGACAGGGCGACAGAGTGGGGATTTGAGACAGCGGGAATTACCATACTTGGGAGCACACCCAGCGCTCAAAGCGTTCAAGATCTACGCCACGCGCTTATCATGCCCGGTCCAGAACTCCGAATGTTCAAGTGGAGTCCGTCGATTGCGCGTGGGCTGCTATCTCCGCAGGCATTTCCAACAGAAAGGACCTGGCCCATGGCGCACGTCGGCACTCTGTGCCAAGCGGGCGAACCACCCTTTTCGCGCGCGAAAGCAGAGACCGGCACGAAGAGACTAGAAGATCAATAAAGCTTTGTGTACTCGACCTGGCAACCCCTTCTCGCGTGCGAGGGGGCGTAGGGGGGGTTCTCGTATGGGACTACCGCGAGATCTATCGGAGCAATGCCCTGGCATGGTTCCAGGAAAAGAACAGTGCCATCGTGCGTCGCTCGTCACCCAGCGCCGGTGCTGTCGGGACCATGCACCGTGACGGCCTTGTCGAGCGCCGCGATGAGTCTCCACCGTGTGCATCTGGTCTACAGCGTTTCCACCGGAGAATGTGGAGATTGGCGTGTGCCACTGGATTCGCTCGATATGAACGTCTCAGTGATGCGCCTTTTCGGCGAAAGTGGGCGGTGGGGGGTGGATCGACACCGACACTCGCCGGACCTGTCGCCTAAGCCACGTGCAATTGCACCTGTTCGAGACGCACCGATACGAACAGCGTCTGTTATCTAGCAAGGAGTGGATCGGAAGCTGGTGTTCCGTGCGAGAGCGAGAGGTAACCCGGGTACGCGCGGCCGCGTGAGCGAGAGACTGCGACCCCAATCGATCAGAGCCAGATCAGGCGATCGGGCAGCCCCAAGGCGCGTTCAGCAGAGTTTGCGCCCGCCCCTCAATCCCCGCTGCCCTCTCCCAGCGGTGTTAACCGTCCTACATCTATAATATACCTCGTCCCCCACTCTGCTCCCCCACCACTGTCCACCTCCACCATGCTCCACGTTCCCCTGCGCACCGCCCCCCGCGCCCTCTCCCTGCGCCTCACCCGCGCCCTCGCAACTCACGCAAGCCCGCCGCCCGCCGCGTCCGCCGTGCGGCACGACTGGACACGGGCAGACGTGCAGCAGATCTACGACTCGCCGCTGCTCGCGCTCGTGTTCCGCGCGGCGTCGGTGCACCGCGCCCACCACGACGGGTCCAAGATCCAGCTGTGCACGCTGATGAACATCAAGAGTGCGTCGTCGTCCCCCCGCCTGTCCCCCTGCGCGCATGTGCACTGACCCCGCGGCGCAGCCGGAGGATGCTCCGAGGACTGTGAGTCGCCCGCTGCCTCGCCCCGCGGGTGCGCACTGACCAGGCGCGGCAGGCTCGTACTGCTCGCAGTCGTCGCGGTACGCGACGCCGACGCAGGCCGCGCGGCTGCTCGAGGTGGAGCCGGTGCTCGAGGCCGCGCGCAAGGCCAAGGCGAACGGGAGCACGCGGTTCTGCATGGGGGCTGCGTGGCGCGACCTGGCGGGGCGCAAGCGCGGGTTTGAGCGCATCCTCGAGATGGTGCGCGGGGTGCGCGGGATGGGCATGGAGGTGTGCACGACGCTGGGGATGCTGTCGCCTGCGCAGGCGCGGCAGCTCAAGGAGGCGTGAGTGGCGCGCGGGCTTGTGTGTGTACGTGTGTCGCGGCTGAGCGAGATGTGTAGGGGCCTGACGGCGTACAACCACAACCTGGACACGTCGCGCGAGTTTTATCCCGAGGTGCGTGTGGGGGTGGCGGTGAGAAAAAGACGGGGCTGACGGCGTGCAGGTGATCACGACGCGGTCGTACGACGAGCGACTGGAGACGATCAGTGCGGTGCGGGACGCGGGGATCAGTGTGTGCTCTGGGGGGATCCTGGGGCTGGGGGAGACGGACAAGGACCGGGTGGGGCTGATCTGGGAGGTGGCCAAGTACGTGTCCAGCTTGTGGTGCGAGGAGGTGCGCTGACGGGGAGGGGGGCCAGCATGCCTGAACATCCCGAGTCGTTCCCGGTGAATGCGCTTGTGCCGATTGAGGGCACGCCGCTGGAGAACAACGAGGTACGGGGACAGAATGCTGGGCTCGAGGCAAACTGACGCGACGTGGACGCAGCCCATTGCGTATCCGACGCTGCTCCGGACGATTGCGACTGCGCGGGTGGTGCTCCCAGAGACAATCATCCGGCTCGCGGCTGGGCGGCAGACCCTGGACGAGGCGAAGCAGGCAATGTGCTTCATGGCGGGGGCCAACGCAATCTTTACGGGGGAGCAGATGCTGACCACACCCTGTGCGTGCCGTGCGATGCGATGGTGGAGTGAGGATGCTGACTGTGTCGAGCAGGTTCACCGTGGGACGAGGACCAGGCGATGATGGGACGGTGGGGGCTGGAGGGCATGCGCAGCTTCGAGCAGGCCGCCGTTGCGCAGAAGGAGGGGCCCAGGCTGTCGGCGCCGGCGGAGGCCAGTCGGTGACCGCGTCTGATCCGGCGGAGAGCAAAAGAAGGAAAATGACAGATGTAGACGTAGACGTAGATTCAGCTAGGATAGACCGTGTCTGTAATCTATCCCCCGCCGCCGCCGACGCCGCCGCCGTCGCCTTTGAGCGCATTCTCTGCCGTGCCCTCGACGTCTTCCCGCCTGGCACCGTCTCTGTCGCTCCCTCGACACGGCGTGCGTATATGCCCGACTCCCCCGCCCATGCCGCCCGC